ATAAAAGAACATGCTACCACACAACTAGAAAAAAAGATTTCGTTGGATAAACCAAAAAAGCGGAAAACCGAGCAGAAGTGCAGCAACGCCATCTAGAAGTTTTTTTCAGAATTTCAAACAGCCGTCCAATCTAAACTCTAGTAGTACAAATCCTAGGCTTCCAGGGGCTTGTTCTACTATCCGCCGGGTACCTTGGAGCCGAAGGGCACGATTTGTACCACCAAGGTTTGCGAGAAATCGCGCTTATAAGCGGCCCTCGAAATTTTGGCCGTTTATGTCAATTTCACTGCGCCGTCTCACCTAAACCCTGGTGGTACAAATCCTGGGCTTCCAGGGGGCTGTTCTACTACCCGCCAGGTACCTTGGAGCCGAAGGGCACGATTTGTACCACCAAGGTTTGCGAGAAATCGCGCTTATAAGCGGAATTTGACTTTTAGCCGTTTTTGTCAATTTCAAGGCGCCGTCTCACCTGAACCCTGGTGGTACAAATCCTGGGCTTCCAGGGGCCTGTTCTACTACCCGCCGGGTACCTTGGAGCCGAAGGGCACGATTTATACCACCAAGGTTTGCGAGAAATCGCGCTTATAAGCGGAATTTGACTTTTTGCCGTATTTGTCAATTTCAAGGCGCCGTCTCACCTGAACCCTGGTGGTACAAATCCTGGGCTTCCAGGGGCCTGTTCTACTACCCGCCGGGTACGTTGGAGCCGAAGGGCACGATTTGTACCACCAAGGTTTGCGAGAAATCGCGCTTATAAGCGGAATTTGACGTTTAGCCGTATTTGTCAATTTCAAGGCGCCGTCTCACCTGAACCCTGGTGGTACAAATCCTGGGCTTCCAGGGGGCTGTTCTACTAAACGCCGGGTACCTTGGAGCCGAAGGGCACGATTTGTACCACCAAGGTTTGCGAGAAATCGCGCTTATAAGCGGAATTTGACTTTCAGCCGTTTTTGTCAATTGTAAGGCGCCGTCTCACCTGAACCCTGGTGTAAAGGCAGTTAAATAATAAGCTACGGACCCCTGTCAAGAATAAGAATTATTTTCTTCAAGACACGCTTCAGGGACATTTTGTGTATTGATAGCCCCATCGGCCCAAGGGGTCCCCCGCTACCCAACCCTCTTTGCACTTGCCCACGCCCTACTCACCTTCAGCAAGATGCATCAGATAAGCGTTGAGCTTCACCACGTCCCTGTTTACACCATGGTTCAGGGTATAACGCGCGCATGGTGGCAGCCCGACAACAACCACTTTCACACACTTCGTGGACAAGTCACGAATAAGTTGTGTCATCGACTCTTTAACATTCGCCAGGCCACGCAACGGCTGAAAACAATTAAGTAGTTTAGTGCTTTTATTTTACAACAAGTGAGGCCCGCTTTTTTACCAAACCAAGTTGCTTGTTAGCTCCGCTTCGCTCCACCGGCAACCTTCAGATGTTTTCATTGTGCTGTAAAAGATTATATCAGAGAACGGTCCTTCGGCCCGTTCTGGTCAGAACTCGGTTCGAACCACCTTACTGCCAGGCACATTTGCTTTAAGGTCAGGGCGGGTAAAATTGACACACTGGGAAGAATGTGATTATGTGTGTCGATAACGAGGAAAGTGGTGTCTCTTCTTTCCCCGCGGCTCATTTCCACCCGCGCTGACCCTACTAAGTGAATAAACGTAACAACTAAAGCATTCGTTGTATTGTACGCCGTCCATCGTTTACTGTGTGTGCTGTAATTTGTTGGCTGAGCGATAGCGAAGCCTATTACTCCAGTGATGATCAAAAAGTTCGTGTCTGTCTGTCTGTGTGTCTGTCCGTCTGTCTGTCTGTTTGTCTGTAAACACGATAACTCGAGAACGGGTTGAGCTAGGTACCTGAAATTTTTAGCGTAGCTTTGTAGCATAAAAAGCAAGAACGGTATTGATTTTGAGCCCCCTAGCTTGAAAATTGACCTGTCAGAAGAAAAAAAACGAAAACCCCAAAATATTATTTCTACTTTTTATTTTTTTAACATCATTCTAAGACGTAACTCGTGAGAGTAGAGCCCGTAGGGCCAAAATTTTGTCCGTTTGGCTCTATCTCTAACCGTTTAGTCGCCAGAGGGCGATATCCACACGAAAATGACCCTAAACCATTTTAATGTTGTTTCTCAGATATTTGACAGTCTCTGGTGGGGCAACTCGTCAAAACAAAATCCTGGGGGTAAAATTTGTGACGCGAGACGTGGTCTGGCGTACATCTACCTAGTAGTATATAAGCCTATGCCATTTTTTTAAAATTCCTGCCAATTAATTGATGTTAGCTTTTAAACTGGTAAAAAAGTTTGGAATTTCATAACAAAGTGAACATTAATTTCAATAAATTTGTCATGAAATTTAACGGTAATTTTACTACACGCCATTGTAATTTTATTGCACGCCCATTTTCAGTGCATGTTATGACATTTTCAGAACAATGTTATTAAATTTTCATCACATGATTTTTACACAGTTAGGAAACTCCCTCCGGCCAACAGCGATGGCATAAGACCACGTTGCAGCTTAGCCACTCTCAGGTAGTCCTCGAGGCCGAGTGGTGACATGTGTTATGTAATTTCTTTACTCAATTGAATTGTAAAGAAAATTGAATAACATTGGTGTGCAATTGTACTGAAAATAGCTTCATATAAATGTTATTAAAATGTAATGATTTTTTTTTACATCGCTGAACTCGGTAAGACATCTCTAAAAAAACTATTTAGGACTGAGACTCAAAACAAAAATTAATTTTCTCGCAGGCATATTTTGAAATGACCCCAAAAGTGCTTGCAACAAACTAAATGTATGAGAGGAGGAGTTTTCGACGTGGAAGTGAACACACTTTATTAATGAAGTGCCACTCTTCTGCTTACAAGACAATGACTGTACTAAAACATACTCCTGACTTTTTTTTTCATTTTTTTTTGCTTCGTGCGCACA